GATGCTCTACCAGCTGAGCTAGAGGTCAGACTGAGAGCAGACCGGGGTGAAATAGATGTTAGGTAGCGGTAATTGTGATGCAAAGATGAGAATATGGAAATTAATTTTTCCAAATTTAATTCCAAGGGCTTTCGCACGGAATAACCTCATTCCCAAGCACTATAACTTATCTATATCTTAATGTAAATTACATATAAGTTTTTTCAAGCTAATTTTTCTCAGGAAAAAACCAAGCTCCAGGCAGGAGTTTGGCCTTTTTTCCTCAAGAAAAATAAATCCATTGAGATATGAATAACAATGAAACAGCCGCCATCTTGGTTGATCTAACAAGAGAAGCTACTGCATGAGGAATGCTATGTTATTGTCAACCAAGATGGAAGCAATGACACAACATGCACAGTTTCAGGAACCAAAACTGGGTCACCTCACCTCTCATCATTTTGACACCCATGCTTCCTAGATTAATCTTTTATTCCAATTAAATATGTATTGTAATGCTACTACTTGTATCTCCATGGTCATCGACTCACCTTGCACTACCGCCATGCTTGATGCTATACCGACCAAGATCTTTATCTAAATCATCATGGACAAGAATTACATTTCTTGCTTCTATTTTATATGCAGAAGCTAGAGTAAAAGATCACACAAAGTCATTTGTTTGGTTTATGCAGGTACATAGTGAGAAAAGTATGATAATGACATACAAAATGTACATTGGAGCAGGTTAAACACAGGAAAACAGCACAACAGATTGGATTGGTAGCCTTACTATCGTATAACCATACCATATTTGCCTTATCTCAACATCATTGAAAACAAATCTCACATCAATGCTGCAATGCGTTTGACATGCAAAAACTATTGCAGCTATTTGCTCTACATCAGTAAATAAATTTGCAACTTACCAACTTTGACTACACTTCTTCCATTGATATTCATTAATAATTTAGGTTTTAGAAGAATGACATCAGCATCATCAATTTGTGTTATCCCATATAACCCAGATAATTTTTTGTCATACTGAAAACTGACTCCAAGCTTGTCAGCAAGGTGATTGACAGCTGCCATTCCTATGCTATGCCTTGTTTCTGGCATGGTATAGTTACCAAGCCCAACTACCTGCAAATTAATCAAATAACGTAAACGGCCAAAAAATGACTAAAGCACAAAAGAGAAGAGTAGCACAAGATGTAGACCAAAATGTAGGTAATTTTTTTCACAGCATGGTTAGTCCCCTCTAAACTATGTTCACAGGCAAGCAACTACACTAAGAAGTTAATAGATTCAGTGATTCGTAAGGAAACTAGACTGGAACATAACCAAAATTAAGCTTTTCTGTCTAAAATTTCACTCTTGCAGCCAGTGTTAAGTATGCACCTTTAAAAAAGTGAATTTTAAATTTTAAATATTTACCAGATAATGAGGTCCACTTGATGTCGACGAGCGGGTAGAAGAACTACGTCTCCTAATGATACGACTTTCTTGCATTTGTGGGAGAGTTAGAAGGGACTGAATTTTCCGAAAAAAACTGCTTCTTAAAAATCCAGCCGCCATCTTGTTTATACACAGGCAGCCCAAACAAGGTTCCTGTGTTAAATAATTTAGGTAGAAGAGTGGATTTTGTAAAAAAAACACTAAACGGCCTCAAATCGCGCTGAAACTTTGCCAGAAGACTGAACAAAGTAAAAGCAACAACTGCAGCAAGTTTTGAGGCAAATTATTGGGTAAAACATTTTATTTTCATACTATATCATAACTACCATACATTCCCTTATAAACCATACACAGGAACCTGTGGTTTATGAGTCCACGAATTCATACAGACAGCGGGGGATAGGGTATATACTTCATGCTGACAAAATCTGTAATTATTTAACATGAACTTACTTTATAAGTGTCGTACATGAAGTACTTGCCTGCAAAGCAATATGGCCGCATCGAGGGTCAGGGTAACGTGTAGGATGCTTTCTCATAAACTCGTCACACCACAATTTTTACCTAAAAAAACTATATTCTATAAAAGCCCAATGACTAAAGTAACTTCTAGTTCATATTCAGCGAATTTCAAGCGGTTTTTCTGCGAGAATGCGGCTCTTGGTAAAATGGATGTGGAAAAGTTCCATCTGATTTATACTTGTAAAGTTTGTAATACAAGATCAAAGAAAACCATCTCAAAACAGGCTTATACTAAGGGTGTTGTTATTGTCAAGTGTCCGGGATGTGAGAATAATCATCTTATTGCTGATAATCTTAGATGGTTTTATAATGAAAAAAGGTAAATTTTGAAAGCTGTTGAAAATGTGCATATAAGTCTCTTTATATTTTTTATATTTTCATTTTTAAAGTCATTATGAATTATGATAGCTGTTTCGTATGAGAGGGAAATATTATGACAAATCCTTAGTCATACTGTAAAAAGGTAAAGATAGGTAAAGGTAATTTGTTTTACTTTGATAACGCGGGGAGTGGTTGCCCAGATCTCCCGAGCCAAAGGCACATGTTTAATGCGCTCGAAAGTGTGCCCTCTACCCACTGTAGCCTTACTGTATCTACGTAATTACCGAAGCTGTAACTATATGTGCTGCGACTGGATATTAACTACTGGAAGACAATGGGAAGTCATTTCTATGTTACGACATGTATGTTATCCCATGCACATACGTGTAAGCTAAACGTTAATACCATATGATTCCTACTCATATGAAAACTACTATGGTACACTATGATAGGAAGTTAGGTGTTAAATTTTCTTCAGCTTTGGTCTGGTTGTATGCAAACTTATGTAATCTTCAGTTGTGCCGTTTTTAAGTCACCTTTTCTGGGGGTAGAGGGGTGGAGATGAGGATTGTCACACTCCCCACCCCTATCCCTACATTGGGCAAGTGAATGACAGATTGTCTAATGGGGACTTCAAACTGATAAACATTTTAAAATGTAATGGAACCAGTCTGAATACTACCAATTATTTCGTTCAAGCATTAAGCACGAAAAAACGAAGGAAATTCAGTTCGAGGAATTCCAGATCTATTGCCCATGTCTAACAGGTACATTTTATCTTTTTTTAGAAACATTGAAGACATACTTGCAGAGAAAGGAGAAACAGTGAAAAAACAAGTCAGTGATGATTGTACATCTGAAATTTTACTCAACAATGAATCAAAACAAGAATAAACTGAATTCTGCTATAAATTCTTTCATGCTCTATAATGCAAACGCTGCAACTGAGAACACGTTTACGAAGTTAACCTATCATAGCATAGAAAGAAAGCAAAGCATTCCAACTTTAGCCAATCAGGAGCAAGCAATGAAGATTGATTTGACATCTGGCAAAAACTAATAAGAACTAATCTTTTTTATGCATTTCAGTTGCGCGATGGACTGAAAATCGGCCGCCAAATAGACAGAGACGAACGGCGTCACTTTGCATTTCTTACTGAAATTTTGTTGAGTGAACTATAAACAAAAAATCGCACAATCTTCTCGTACAATTTGGAATTAATAGACACTCGTAATGTTTTGAAATTTCTTTAATTGCACTCGCCTAAAGGCTCGTGCAATTACAAGAACTTTCAAAACATTACTCGTGTCTATTAATTTCCAAATCGTACTCGAGATCGTGCCATTTCCTATACAAATTATAAGTTGATTTCTAAGAATACTTTACTATGATTATGTCTGTACTGTAATGGCTACTTCAAAAATAAATTTTAATTTTCCTGTTTTGACCCTGTATTTCTAAAACCTTTTGTAAGTTTATTTAAGTTCAATGAGTAAGAAGTATCTACACCCACACATTTTCATGGGTTATTTGCATAAGTAAGTTCCCTCAAATGACTAAAGGGACATAAAATTTTCAACTAAAGTTTGAAAACTCAAGGCAAAGATTTCACAGTAAAAAATGTTTTTAATCCATTTAAAGTAACAGAGTTGATTAAATACAAATTAAATACCTTACCAGCGTTCAACTCAAAAACTTTTTAATTCAATTGTCTATAATTATAAAATATGCATGTTGCGCTAGGCTTACGGCGAGCGTTGAAGAGCGAGCTAAACAACTTGTCGCGGCAAGCTTAGTGTGCAGGGAGCTTTACTGGTTGAATAAGGTCAGGAACCACGGAAAATCGGCTGTGATTGACGGTGATTTTAATTGACGATAATCAAACGTAAACTGAAAACAATACAATCAATGACATAATTACTAAATGATAGGATTACAAGAGAATCACGCATGAAGAATAACATGCGTTCCGATCATAGTTTTAGTATGACAAACTCTAAAAAATTAAGAAACTAAAGGTACAAGTAGAATGATACTTATATAGTTTTTATGATAACATAGCAATCAAATAACTACTATAAACTCTTATGAATACTAATATAAATGATGCGATTTTGGCTRTGCCTTAGGGYGTGCCACTCCAAGCGACGTGAAAACGTACTAGCGATAATGAGATCAATAAAGGCTTTAGACTTAAAGGTACAGATTTAAATGTACAAATACAGATATAGGCCTGGCTTTGTAAATTGAATGCTTGTTAAGCAATAGAAATCTCAGGGCGTTGCCGTGTGCTTGACTAAACACGGTATAAACCATAGACGGGTCTTATAAAGTAACTAAAAGGCTATTATGCCCGAGGCTAAGGCTTAGACAAGGTGTAAAGCTAATTACTGTACTYACACATCTGTTCCCGCTTGCACTCTAAAGGGCCAGGGGGTAACTCTTTCGTGGACGATTCAACTAACTAAACTAAAACTGGGAACGAAGCTAACATTTCCTGTCAGTATTACACGTGGCATAGCTTGTGATGTAATTGAGTAAACATAATGTGGCAAATCAGAATTAACATGCAAATAATCAAAGACAGAGGAGCCTCGATTCTATGTTTCTAACAATGCATATTGAATTTGTATCCTATATTTTTTCTCTTAGGTAGGATAATTAATTTAAAAATAATAATAGCAGTAGAATACAGTATGTTCTGAATTGTTCTGAGAGAAATTTTATTTGAGGCTTATTAGTTTCATATTTTATCATTCAAACGTTTCTATTTTTAATGCTGATTCATTTAATATAAAATAATGAAATTCAAATTCCAAAATATGTGCAGACTAGGCATGTGTATCCTATATTTTCTCTCTGTAAGTCTAGGATAATTAATTTAAAAATAATGATAGCAGAGGAATACAGTATGTTCTGAATTGTTCTGAGAAAAATTTTATATGAGAGTAGTATAGGGGATGGGGGTTCCAGCGCAACGACAACCGGAGGATTACCCGTCTAAAGTACCCACCTCGATTCGTACCGCGATTACCCGCATCCCGCGTCTATGTAAGATATGTTAGTCTATATATGGAGTGCGAAGATTGTAAAGAGTTTGTTTTTGACTTCTGTATAAAGTGCTTAAAA